CTCCCCGCCCGCGCGCGTGGCCGCGGGGCGCGCCCCGCCCCAAAGCCCAGGGGCTTGCTGCAGACTCCTGGATTGGCTGGGGAGGGGGGGGCGCGCCTCGAGGGAACCTCACCCTAATCTGTGCACCCGTCCGTTCGTGTCCCCCCCTCCCCGACTCCCGCCCTAGGCTCATTAAAAGGGCGGGACCTGCTCCCTCGGCTTCTTTCTTTTATAAACAAATAGCAAAAGTTACCCCCAGCCTTAGCCGAGCTTGCAGGAGAATAGGAGTTGTTGAAGAAAGTCGCGCAGGCATTGACCGCCCTCTTGAGAAGTATTGTCACTGGCCTCTCAAGTCTCAAGCCCTGGGAAACACCAGTCAGGCCTGGCGTGTGGGCTCTTGGCCGGTAATCCCAGCATTCAGGGTGCTGATGAGACTGGAGGATCAAGAGTTCAAGGCCGGGGTTCAAGATCAGCCTGGGCTACTTCGGGACACCAGTTCCCCTCCCCCCAAAAAAAATTTTAATTCGGAAGATTGGGCCTGGCTGCACATGCCAGTGATCTTACTTGAAAGACTTAAGCACCAGGAAATCAAGGTCATCCACTGCCACTCGGTGAATGGGGGGGATTGCTCACGTCTGTAATCAGTCTCAGAACTCTGTAGACGGAAGCAGGAGGATTGCTGAGAGTTTGTAGCCATAGTGTGCTACATAACAAATAGCAGGCCAGCCATAGCTACATAACGAGACCTGCCTCAACCAAAGAAACAGACCTGTTAAGTCTCCACCCATAGATCTTTATCCTTAGCTAATGGTCATTTTAAGCTTCATGAGGTAGAATGCTTTCAAATCTCCAACTCTAACCGGGGGAAATTCAGTCCTGTGGGAGTTGAGACACAGCCAAGTTGGGCTTAATGCCTGACATCTTCTAATGAGCACAGGCAGTCTCATGTCCTGTTCCTTCTCACCTGAAGTACCTTCTTGGCCTGCCTTTAATGTCTTCTTAAAATGTGGGCCTTGCAGCCTGTCCTTTAATTTGTAGGCAGTGAACTACCGGCTGAAGTTTAAAGCTGAGTGGCATTCGGGGCCGGCATTACCTGATCTAAACGTATGAACCTATTGTCAGTATTACTACAGTGGGAGCCGCAAGTGGGTGCTACACGCTGGAGGTGGACCCTAAGAGGATCTAGAAACTTCTTTTTTTTTAAAGGTTTATTTATTTATTATGTATACAGAGGAGGGCGCCAGATCTCATTACAGATGGTTGTGAGCCACCATGTGGTTGCTGGGAATTGAACTCAGGACCTCTGGAAGAACAGCTAGTGCTCTTAACCTCTGAGCCATCTCTCCAGCCCCTAGAAACTTCTTAACAGGGACAAGCAAGCAAAAGAACTTCAGGTGTCTCTCTCTCTCTCTTCTCTCTCTCTTTTTTTTTTATTGGTGGGGGGGGGGGTTTCTCTGTGTAGTTTTGGAGCCTGTCCTGAAACTTACTCTGTAGATCTGTAGACCAGGCTGCCTAGAACTCACAGAGGTCCACCTGCCTCTGCCTCCCGAGAGTAGGGATTAAAGGCGTGTGCCACCGGCCACGTTTCTCTTTGACAGAGTTTCCTTGACTTCACTTTCCTGACACACGTCTGTAGAAGCCATTTTTCCAAAGAACCAGACAGTATGTTACTAATTAGCACAAAACTGGATGCAGAGTAGAGTGAAGGCCTTAAGGTACTTGACCACCAAAGATTTCAGTGACTTTTTTGTTTGTTTTTTTCTGAGACAGTCTTCCTGTGTAGCCTAGGCTAGCAACCAAATTGCGGTCTTTCTGCTGCTGGAGTGTTGTTGGTCTTACAGGTATAGGCCACTGTCCAACAAACTCTTTGCAATTGCAAGCTCTATACACTGAATCAGATTTGAAAAGAACTCTTAGTTGAGTAAAATTGAGTAAGAATAAATAAATGAAAAGCAAACAACAAAAACAATAACCCCTCTTCACTGAACTGGCAAAGAGAAACCTGGGCCAGCCATCCAAATTCTTGGGAGTTCAAGGTCATTTTTAGCCACATAGTTAGTTTGAGGCCAGTTTAGGAGACATGAGACCAAGACCCTGTCTCAAATAATGAAAAGACAGGCATCGTGGCCAACATTTCCCAAATACTGGGATTAAAGGCATGGATCAACACCACCAGGATTATGCAGTACTGAGATTCGAACTCAGGGAGTCCGGCATGCTAAAGCACTCTCCCAACTGACTATATCTCCAATCCAGCTATCCTTTTTTTTTTTTAAAACTATAGTGTAACTTGAGGCTAAATGATTTTCTTTGTTTTCTAGATGATTTTACTGCATGAATGTCTGTGTGAGGGTGCCTGATCCCCTAGAACTGGAGTTACAGACAGTTGTGAGCCGCCAGGTGGATGTTGGGAATTGAACCTCAGTCCTAACCTGTGCTCTTAACTTCTGAGCCATCTCTCCAGCCCCGGAAGTGATTTTCTTTCTTAATTTTTTTCTTTTTCTTTTTTTTTT